ACAACAAACAACTACCCTCCTCTCTCTCTCTCTCTCTCTTCCAACCCTAACATGATTACCTTGTGAGTGAAGATAAATGCATCGAAAAAGACAAGAACTGGAGTCAAAGACAAGAAGTCCCACCCACTCTCTCTCTCACTCTCTCTCACGCACACACACACACACATATGCACGCACGCACAGACACAGAGGTTTGAGGAGACCTGTAATGTCCATGTCCAAACCGTTTCCTGCCCGACCAGCAACAGCAACAGTACTCGTCCCCTCTCTATTCCCTTCTCCGAGTTCTAAGCAAAGTTCACAGCCATCACCATCACCATCACTGCATATCTTTCCTTCTCTTTCTTTTCTTCCATCACCTTCTGCTTAACTGTGAATATATATGCTCGCCTTCTTCCCGGTCCACATGAAGTGATCCACACACTGCGGCCAGATCTGCGATAATGAGGAAGCCGGATGCTCCTCCCAGTGGCAGCACCGGCGGTGGAGGTAACAAGCTGAGGAAGGGGCTGTGGTCGCCCGAGGAGGACGAGAAGCTCATGAACTACATGCTTAGGAACGGGCAAGGGTGTTGGAGCGACGTCGCCCGGAATGCCGACTTGCAGAGGTGCGGCAAGAGCTGCCGGCTTCGGTGGATCAATTACCTGCGCCCTGATCTCAAGCGCGGCGCTTTCTCCCTCCAGGAAGAGGAGCTCATCGTCCACCTTCATTCCATTCTTGGCAATAGGTTCTCTCTCTTCTCCGGACTGGGTTTCTTTGCGTGCATTCGTCCCACCGGATACTGAACCTAATCCACTGCGTGCAGGTGGTCTCAGATCGCTGCGCGTTTGCCTGGTCGAACTGACAACGAAATAAAGAACTTCTGGAACTCCACCATCAAGAAGAGGCTAAAGAACTCCAACAACAGCGGAGATGCGGAGACCAGAGGAGGAGCCGCGAGCCTTGCACACGTAAAGGAGCATCAACTGCAGGGCATGTACGTGGACTCCTCCTCCTCCTCGTCGTCTTCTTCGATGCCTGGTGGTTTGTTCATGGCCAACCAGTATGACCTGCTGCCCCTCCCCGAGGTCGGCTGCGGCATGATCAGAGTCGAAGACAGCTCCTACTTCCACGAACCACCAACCGTAGCCCAAGCCGGCATGGAGAATGGGTTCTATGGGGATGGCCAGGGAGTGATGATGGTGGAAGGAGGCCTCATGGGAGGAGGATGCGAGCTCTTTGTGCCCCCTCTCGAGAGCAGTCAAGAAGAGACCCTCATGAACGATGGAGGTGCAGGGAGCATGGTGAGCAGTGCCGACATCAGCAACAGTGGTGATGTGAACAAGATCCAAAGCGGAATGCTTTGGGAGGACGAGGACATTAGAGTGGGGGAGTGGGAGTTGGGAGACTTGATGAAAGATGTCTCTTTTCCTTTCCTTGATTTCCAAGTCGAATGATGGGACATTCATTCCACAGGTATATCACCTCCACAACCCATCTCTCTTTCTTCTCCTTTCCTCAACCTTACATCTGCTTGCCTTTCTCTTGCCACTACATATACAGCATGCCAAATATGTTTCAGATACAAAAGAAGAAGAAAACTCGGTCAAGCTAATTGATTATGCTGCTCAATTCTTTGAAGCCTCTTAAGCTTCTTTGTTACTCCACAAAATCCATATTCACCAATAAAGTACAGGCAACGTTTGGTTCTCATTCTCCTTCCTCACCTCTGCAGATGAAGTTATGTAAATAGGTTCATGGTGTTCAAGGGGGATGACAAGGAAATATATACATACATATGATTCTTGGTTCATGGAAGGTGGTTTTAGGGTGTGATTCAACAACATTTGCAATTGAGGAAATCATATGTACCAGTGAAAGATAGAAATTAAATGAAGCAAATTTTTTTTATTTGTTTTTTTTTGCATATAATAGAGGCATCTATGATTACAAGTTTCCAGATGAAGGAAAGGAGGATTCTATGAAAAGCTTTGTACTACTCTTTTATTTTAAATGCGACATATGTTTCTCACCACCATGGTTGGTAGTAAAAGTATGTGTGGAGTGTGGGATGATGACTTTTCTCATTTGCTATGGTACATGGACCAAAACTAAATGATAGAAAGGTGGTGGGGCTGTATGAAACATGTTCTTGGTACAGCTCTTGATGGCAATTGTCATTATCAATTTGAAAAGCAATCCAACCTGGTATTTCAATTATCATTATAAGCCAAGATCTAATTTTTTCTTGTTTTAGTCCACACAAGGAAAATGAATGATAGGATCCTGTAATTATTTGTTACACTCCTAATCCATTCATTAGTATAATAATTTATAAAATATATAATTTATATTATTTTTATATATAATACAGATGCTCAGTTGTTGTGTGGAACTGTGGAGTCCTTTTTTGCCTATCCAGTGAGAAATCACAGGCATCAAAGTGTTGTTTTTTGTCAGACTCATCATCATGTTGTTCACACACACACACACACACAAATATATATATATATTTACACACACATTACTGTCTCTAGCTTTTTATGTTAATACACATCCAGGGAGTGATAAATCCCTGTCAATTAAGGGTCTTAACAGCTGAAAACAAAGACAAACATTTCAGGGTTGGAAAGGAGAGTTTGTATACGGAATCAAGTGCTGATATGGAGATTTCTACCAAAAAAAAGGCAGAGAATTTGATCACATATCCACTCAGGCAGAGAATGTCAAGCTGAAGTCTCTTTAGATGGTACAAAGTACTTGAATAATACAAGTCTACTGAAAATTTGTTGCATAAGTTACTTTCTGGTAGTCAAGCCTCTTTAGGAACAAAAATGACCGAAAATAAATCAGAAGTATATTGTATTGTGTTATACTTTGGAAACTCGACATGGGCACACGACGGCCGCAAATAGCAGACTCAAGAGAATCTCTTGATGGCCGCAGCAGAAGATTGGAACTAGTAGGTCAGCCGGTTTTACTGGCTTCCGCGTTTTTCTTTCTCTCTTTGAGGAGCTTGATCTTATCTTTTTTCCGTTCTTGACCAATCTGTTGAGTGGGAGGAAGCCAAGGCACAAAAGCCATAAGAAATCTCCAAAAGCAATCAAATCATGTTAATGTAATATGATAAAGCACTTAAACAGCAAGAAAGCATAGGCAAAAAGTAGGGACAATAGAACTTTATCGTTGTAATCATCAACTTCAGAAATGAAAACTCTATACCCGGTCAGCCAGTAAAGAGCCACGAAGATGAATAGTGAAGCATTTGTTGGCCACCTCTTCAAACCTAACCCATTCTTCCCTGAAGCTCAAGAACATTGCTTTTGACTCGAATAGAGGCTTGAGCGTTTTGTTACCCAAATGCACATGATTTGCATCCTAATCTAAAAGTCTAATACATCCTTGGCTAGGACCACAGACAAGATAGGGAGCAGGAATTTGTCTAATAGATAACAAAGATTAACAAATATGATCAA